TCCTGGAAAATCTGTGCTGGAGTCATATTTAATTGTAGATTCTGACCCTTTTTCTTGAGCCTGAAAACACATCAAATTAAGGGAAATGAATCCAAATTTTGAAAAAAGGAAATATTCACACATCAAGAACCATGAAATTTTAAGAAACAGTGAAATTCAGTTACTTCACTTCTTTCCTAAGTATAGGATGAATAATCAAGGAAATATTGCATTAAGGGGAGTATTAAGGCCCTCCACGATTACAGTATTAACATATCTTCCCATCCTTATTTCCCACTGCTGCCCTCCATACATACTCTATCCAAACTGAACTGAACCTATTTTTTGCCATACGCCTTTGCTCGTGTTTGGAATGTTCTCTCTCCCTATAGCTGTTCAGTTTGTCAAGATCCTGTCTTCCCTTCAATGCCCACCTCAAATGACATTAATACATAAAGTATTTCCTGTCCTTCTCCCACTTGGTATTATTGCTCTCCCCACTATACCACTGGCACTTTTCTTACCATGCTATGTAAATTATAATGTTTTGTCTTATTTTCTCTATTAAACTATAAACGCCTTAAGCATAAACTATGCACCATTTAAGTTTATATCCACTAATATATCTGGCATAGAGCTTGGTCCTGAGAGGTTACATAAGTAAATATATGCTGAATTATTGAATTGAAGAATTAAAAGGCAAAGCAATACCATAATATCCAGAAAAGTTAAAATGCAGAGATTAGTGTGATTAGCTTAAAACTCAAGTTCTATTTGGAAGTCGGAAAAGTCATGAAATATTTTTTCTATGTTTTTCTTTGCAAAAATGCATTATGACATTTCCGAAAACCCAATATTTGGGATAGACAAACTCTCCCATTGACTATAAGCCATTTGAAGACATTACTAACAAATTTTCTAAATAAACATTTTAATACGAATAAATAAGCCTCTGAGCTGTCCAACATAGTACCCAATAGTTACATGTACCCATTGAAGTTATTTAAAATTTAGTTCCTTGGTCTTACAAGTCACATTTCAAGTGCTCAACAGCTATGTGTGGATAGTAGCTATCATATTGGACAGCTCATAAAGAATATTTCCATTACAGAAGAAAGTTTTACTGGACAATGCTGAACTGAGAATTCCACAAAACGTGTAAATGAAGAGAAATAAGAAACACTTTAGATGATACTATTATGTTATTTCTTAACTTAAGATTGCCTAAGAATACATACCTCGTGAAATTGCTATCTAGTTTACAGAACAGTTGGAAAGCCACACCAATTGAAACAGATGTCTTCCAGTCTCCGAGTTTATGTGCCAACCACACAGCTTCTGGAAACAGGCCACCAATAAATAGTAATTCCAGGGTATATTCAACTGTCCACACATTAGAAAGATTCTGATCTCTAACAACACTGGCCACCTTAGAGTGCTGCAGAGGAATAAATCGTAGGGGCTGCTCTGTGAGAAAATGAAAAGAAAATGGGTATTACAATTACATACATCACAACTCACACCTCTTTACATGAGTACATATATCTCTTCAATCAGTAATTTTCTACACAAAACCACAATGAAGATACTAACAAAATGGGCTAAAATAATACTTAACATATCCTAAAATCGTTTTGTTTTTTTAAACACTAAGGAATGTGCCTTATTAGTGGATCATGAAGCAAATGCTAGCATTCTTAAAAAAATGAAACAGAGTAGAAATAGAAACAGAAGAGATAATGTCAGAGTGCATTACCAAAATAAAGGTGAGTACAGTTTAGTGAAACTTTTGTGTCAAATATAAACAGGCCTACACATTTAAAAGTACTGGGTCACAGTGCAGAGTTTATTACTGTGGCTGCCCTGAAATACATGTCTATTTATCCCACGAGATTATGAAATCTGGAGGACAGAGACTGCATTTTACCTGACTCTGCATTCGTCATAGTGTCATGCAATAAAAAAGTAATTTGAGGCAATACTCAAGCACAGTAAGTGTTCAATATACTAGTGTTTATAAGAAAATAAAGCGTGATTTTCAATAATCCTGAATCAACAACAAGATCTTAGTCTAGCCTGGGATTAAATACAAAGGGAAATATCCTTCTCTGTAGCTTTCCATATTTTTCCCTTATTAAAGTTACTTGAATAAGCAACTTGAAAATATGACACAACTGTTTTTTTTTAATACATACTGCTAAGATTTTCACTCATTCATTCAAAATAAAATTGGTGAATGAGGTATGTGGGTTTCTGCTCATTGAAATGAAATGATTAGTTTCTCACGTGACCTACATGGGCTCTCCCCACACCAAGCACTATCATTTTATTAGCTGCCTGACAAACACATTGGACAGAAAAATAAAATCTAGTCAATCACTTGAATGTTTGATTCTGCATGGGCAGACAGGATATTGATTAAAATTTTCTTTCTTTTTTATTCACTGAGCAAAGCACTGTACTATTAAAAGAACTCGAATGGTTTAATTTTCTGAAAAATTTGTATACATGTTTATCTCCACAAGGGCAGGGAAGTTAACCAGCACATATTAGGTATATTTTTTTACCCCATTAATGAAATGATTAAACAGAACAAAGTAAATGATCCAAATAAAATTATAAAAGTAAATCGTCCAAATGAAATTAAATTCTAAATTAGCATAATCAAAATTTGTTAAATTTCCATATTTTTATACAAATTAAGGTGGCAGCCCTTTTACTTTAAAAATGAAAATTTTTAAATACCAATTTGTCCAAAGTTTGTGATTAAAAATCCATACCCAATAAAAACAAATCCAAGCAATTACCTTTCTCAGATTTTATTCATTCACAAATAGTCACTGAACATCCCCTATGTGTCAGACACCAAGCTATAACAGTACTGTTTCCATAAAATAATGATCACTGTACAATGTGATTTTAAACACAATGAGCAAAAACAAGGTAAGGAAATTATTTGTTTACTATNCCTCCCCTAACAGCCTACCTGATCCAGGGAGGGCTGCCCCCACCTCCCCAGCTTCCAAGGAAGGTGCTAATCGATTGTCCAGCGAGTACCATGCGTTAATCCCTAGCCAAGGTAACCCATTCAAAGACAGGCAAGTGACCTAAGTCAGTCTCAGAAGAGTGAATCTCAGTACTCCTGCTTTGAATGCTGGGAGGGAAATACTTTTACTTCTTTTCTTTCTCCCTTTCCTTCTCCCCTGTGGACATGGACATAGTGTCCTTAGAAGCTGCTGGCAGCCAATCCTGCTCCCACAAAGGGAGTCAGCCTTCAGCCAACACTGACACCTTCGAAAACAAACTAGAACTGACTCTGGGTGGTGAACACACAATGTGATATATAGAAGACATATAGATTACACTTGAAATCTACATAACCTTGCTAACAATTGTCACCCCAGTAAACTGTAATTAATAAGAAAGAAAGCAAACTAGAGAGAACGAGCCTAAGTCTTTGATAACATAACTGAGGCAGAAAGCTGCCCTACCACTGGGCTCCAGCCAATTTTGACCAAGTTTTCTACTATGTGCTTCCAACCCAAGGGATTGACATTTAAGAAAAATCCTAGCATTTAGGATTATTTTAATGAAAAATAACAAAATGAAGCACTACTAAGGATAGTAACCACTCACACTAGTATCAGCACAGCATATCCAAAAATACCTTCAATGCGATTTTTAATTTCTAAACCAATATTCCTGGAAAGAGAAATTACTGAGAAATATCACGGACTATTTATTCCTTACATTTGTAATATATTACATTTGAAATTTCAAGAAATGAAATGTTTTTAACCTATTGAAACATTAAATATAACAAATGAGAATATGACTCAAAAAACAAGAGAAAAAACTAGAAAGATACAAGTTGCTAACACTAAAACACTAAATAGAAAATACTAGAATCACTTCAAAATATTAATCAAATATTAAAATAATTTAAATGTAAATAATTTACATTAACATTTTAAATCTTAAAAACAGCTGATTACAATGTTGTGATTTTCAATTAGAGCAGGAGGAAAGTTCCTGAGAGGAATACAGCATTGCTATTTATAAGATAACTGAATAGTACAGGAGAAAAAAATCTCACAAATCAATGAAAAAGCCAAAATAAGTCTTTCAAAGAGGCCAAGTCAATGAGGTGAATGAAAGACTGAAATAATGTATGACCTCTAAATTCTGACATTCATTATTTTGTAACCCTAAACGAATGTCTAGTTTTTAAAATCTGGATATAGAGAAATATCTCTTAATTTTGTTTTATTATTGCAATAATTTTAACATTTATTGAATGTTTACTATGTGTCACAGGCCAGGTCCTAAGGTAAAAGCTTTCACAGGATATCTCATTTAATCCTCACAATAATGCTACTGGAAGTACTACCATCATCTGCATTTTACAGATAAGGAAACTTAACCAGCAGTTAAGTATATTGCCCAAGATTCTACCATTAATAAACATCAAAGCTGGGATCCGGAAGTTTGCCTTCAGAGCCTGTATTTTTAACTTGAAGATTATTATCAGGTTGATTATATAAAAATTGGACAAAATCAAGTCAACTTTAAACTAATTGAAAGGTTAAGCGCTAAACTTACTTCGCTAAGATTAGCTGGCTGTGGACAATATAACGGAGGAGCTGGAAGATACAAGCCGACCGGCACTAAACCCCACAGTCTCCTACTGAAGTCCTTGGCAGAGCTCATCAGGAGCTGAAATGCCTCCGAGAGAATATCTGCATCGGCCATAACTGCTGCTTTCAGTACTTCTTGCACTGAACCGAACAGCAGATTTGCATCTTCCTCTTCAATGGGATCTACCCAATACAAAATTAGATAAAATAGTTAAAATTGATATTATACTTCTTATCCTACTTTGTAGGATAAAATCTCATACCTGAAAAGCTGATCATCAAAAATGAACATATTGGTTGACATGCAAAACATCCAAACTTCTATACAGCAATTTAATAACTATTCTGTTACTTTGTTATAGGCAATCAGAACACAATACTTTCCCCAGAATTATACAAGATACTATAATACCAACTATATAATAAAAATATTCTTGGAATATAGTTCTAAATCAAAAATAATGAAAAATATTAATAGAAAAAAAATTCAAAAAAGACACTCAAATAACATGTTGAAGGTAGTGGGATAGTATTTTTTTTCTTTTTCTTAATAGTCAATCACAACACTTATATAATACAATAAAAATGACTTATAATATAAAGCTAAAAAAAGAAAAATACAGAATAGTCATACAGTATAACTTCAATTATGTAAATATCGACATGTCCCAGAAGGCATAATGCAGGGGGGTGCAGGTGGCAGAACTGAAGACTTAGGAGCTTTTATATTAGGAAGTCATATTCCACTCCTCCTCTCAAGAGGTAGACACTATCCAGAATTTGGTGTGAATATATTAGAACTCCTATCAAACATACAAGTATTGTGGAAGATCATCTAAAACAATACTACCAGACGTAGAAGTTCAGACTTGAAACTTATTAGTCCTTTTTCCAAAACCAACTTTTATATAGTTATATTATCTTTTCATTTACTAAAAAAAAAGAGTGAAGTTATAATTAGTATGTTCTAGGAATCTAGAGTTAGAAGACTCATCATTCCCTAATGGATAACAGCACTAATGAAAACAAAGGGTCCCACAGTAGTCCTGGTTTTATGATTACACACACAACTTTAAATAATTTTT